TTATCCCAAAGGTAACATGGCATAAGAAAAGGTCTCAGGGAATTTCCTGTAACTGCCTAAAGCCTCAGCATCCTTATCTGAGAAGTACAAACTCCACATAGAAGATAAAGTTAAATTAAGTCTACAAAAAAAGTCTATAAACAACAGCAAACTTAATCCGAACACCCATTTGTGGGGAACTGGTTAAGTAAATAATTGGCAAATACCCCAGTGATGTTTTTTTTTTTTTGATGTGACCACTTGACTAGGCCACAGTCCCCAGTTACTCAAACACTAGGTGTTGCTGTGAAGGTATTTTCCATTTGCATGAAAGCCCCTAATCAGTTGACATTAAGAGTAAGGGAGTATCCTAGATAATGTGGGGGAGGCTGATTCGTTAGTCGAAAGACCTTAGAAGCAGAAGCCTGGAAAGGCCTGGACAGGTGAAACCTCCCTAAAAAAAGGGGGGAAGAAACTGCACATGTAGACACAGCTTCAGCTCTCCTGTGGAGTTCCACCTGTCCACTCTTCCCTCTGTCAGTCCATGCCGGGGAGCCCCACCTGCTCCGTGACTGTCAGGCGGAACTCCCAGCCCTGTGGACCTCACGCATCAGCCGTACTCCCACTCACAGAAGCCCACGGCTTGAAGCAGATTTCTGAAGTTACACACTATCATACTGGTTCCTACTGGCCCTGCCTCTCTGATGGAGGTCTGACTGACACACCAATTGGCAGAGGGCTCTGCCACTGAAGGAATGAGTATGCGTTTTAGGTCCTTCCAAGCCCCAGTGAGAGTAAAAACGAGAGTAAAGGGACATGAAAAGGTGAACCTTACTTCTGGGATAAAAAGAACAGAATGATACATAAACTTAATTTAGTTCCTCCAGTAAAACCTCATTAAGGCAAAGTAAATACAGGAAAAGGATTTCTTTTAAAAAGACATAAATTCGGAAACATGGGGAGAACAGAGAAACAGCCACCACAAACTCACTTTAGAAGATGAAAAGGAGACGGCCCAGTGGCAAGTTATGTAGCTGACCTGAGCACGCCAAATCCTAAAACAACATGAGAAAGCAAGGAATCTTCGAGTGCAAGGAACTGAGGCATCGTTCCTTCTAGAACTCGGGGTAGAGAGGATGGCTTAAATGAGGAATTCAGGAAGGCTCGAGAGAGACAAAGCTCTGGGGCTCCTGCATTTCCCTCAACTCGGCAGAAGTCAGGGAGGTTTTCTCCCTGGAGAGTGTTCAGAGAGCTTTCTGGACATACCAGAGGATTGATCCCACACTGAAAACAGAAGTGGCTATGTGCTGCCATATTGAATGCTGACTGCAGAGTACCAGCCTTTCCCCCACAATGGCTGCCAGGCCAACCCTTCCAGTCAGGGCCCAGAGGACTCTTCTGGGGAATCTGAGATGCCAGAGGTCCAATCCTCTGATGGGCAAGACTGAGACCAAGACAAACAGGGGGAAAACGGAGAAATTGGATTGATGAGAAAGGACAAAGGGGAAAAAAATCTACGTTCAGATAAAACATCATACCCATGAGACAAATACAGAGTGACATGAAGACGGACATTCAGAAAATAAGGAGTTCTTGGGAATTAAAAATGTGATAGCAAAGATGAGCACTCACTAGAAGGGACTGAAAGGTGAAGTTGAGGGAATCTTCATGAAAGCAGCGAAATGACAAAATGATGCTGACAGGAGATCAGAAAGGGAGGGACCCAGGCCAGCATGTCGGACACACAAATAACCAGAGCTCCAGTAAGAGGGATGAAGCCCCACAACGGCTGTCGGTGCAGATTCAGGCCTTGTTATCTGGGCTCTTGGCACTGATGCACTCTCTCCCGACCCAAGGGTGCCAATCTGTAGAAAGGGGTGCATACAGACTGCTTTTTTCTTGATCCAGAACTTTTCTAGAAGACAGTGTCAGAAGAAGGTAAACAGAGTCACCCTCCCGGGGAGAAAGAATTCCCACCAAGGATGGAGCCTTTCCCCTCACAAGCGGCAAAGGATGCAGGAGACCCATCAACAGAGAGGAGAGCCAAAGAAAGAAATGGTGAAAATCCCCAGGAAATGCTCAGGACAGCAGAGGAGAGGCGTGAGCACGAGAGCTGTCACTAGACTTCACGGACAATGAGTCTGCTTTGGGGCAGGGGCTCAAGATGGAGACGTGAAGGGCTGTTCGCACCAGTGCCTCTGTCTTCGTTGGCTTAGCTCAGAGCAGAACATTCAGTGATCCTGGTGCACATTCTCATTTCTACTCAGCTTGTCTTGACGCGAGCTGCCAAGAGTCCTGCCCTCCAGACCAGCATTCCACCCCACAGATGCGTCTTTGACTCGCCGGCAGAGTCCAGAGGACGGCAGCGGTCAGCCTGCCAACCAACAGCAGCCCAAGCCCTCCGACCGTTTCCGCAGACAGTGAGGACCTGGTGTGTGGAGGCCCCAGTACCCCCAGGACCCGTTCCCGTCCTTGCTCGCTGACTTCCCCAGAAGGGGCGCTGGTAAATCCCCAGGGAAGTGGAGGTTCACCCAGAGCCAGACCCAGAGATTGCATGACTCTTTCCGGCCGACTTCCCCTAATAGTGGCAATACTCTTCTCTCCCCACACAGCTCCGTTTGTGCTTGACGCCAGGTGTGGTCAAAACTGGACACTACATTGTTTCAGGGCATCCCCACTGGGGATCAAAACAGGAAAGTGAGGAGATTATTGAACCACAAATCAGTGCAGTGCTCACTTTGGTGGAAAAGGTAGAGAATTTGACCACGTTGGGCATAAGAGGCCCTCTAAGGGACTGGTAGTGTTCTGTTCCCTGAAGACGAATACACTGCCCATTTTATTTTCGTTTAGACTGTACGATTACATTGTACATGCTCTTCTGTATGTAGGAGATATTTCACAGTTGAATATATATATAAAAACTCATATAATCGCAAAGAGAACTTAAGGGGGAACAAGAGGCCAGAGACTATACTCAGGAAGGTACGAACCGACATGGTTAAGAACAGATGAAGTAAGGTCGATGAAACCTGCAAGTCAGCACACCAGCAGCGGGGGGGGCGGCGAAGGCCCAGCTGTCCGGGGTCCAGCCTCACAGCCCTGCGCCCTGTGAGTCATCATTCCGAAGCCAGCCGCAGGCTCCCTGTGAGCATATGCTGGCTCGGGGGACCGCCCTGCACTTGCTTGCATTTCTCTCCGTCCTGGGTATCTGACCCAAGTGGTCCTCTGCCCTGTCCATCCAGGGTGGGCAGCAGGGCAGCCTTCTTGCACCAGCTCCTTCGTTCCAGCCAAGGAGAGGCCCGAGACTCTGGGCCAGTGCTTGGCTCCTAGTCTGGGCCCCTTTGGCTTCCACTCCTAAGCGTGAGGTGTCCAGGGGCTCCTCTAGCCTCTGGGATGGCTCCCCAGATCTGGGGTTCTGCTGAAGTCCCATTCCCCGCCCCTATCCCAGATGTCAGCGTGGGAAGGGGCCTTAGAGATTATCTAGTCTGCACCGTCCTCAAAGGCCAGGTGTTGAGGCCACCACTGTGATCCGTCCAAGGCCTCACAGCTGGAACCAAAAGTCACCTCTCCCTTTCCACCCCTCCCCCCTGCCCCAGGCCCGGCATGGCTTGGAGACGAGCACGAATTCCCTCAGTGCTGTTTGGCAGCATCCAGAAACAGTTCGTGACCTCAGCAACTTAGCTGGCCTCCATTTTTAAGAGAGTGGGTTTTTTTCCTTGTAATTATAAAAGAAAACCAAGTTCCCTATAGAAAATTTGGAAAATACAGAAAAATTTCAAAGAAGAGGAGGTCACTCGCAAAGCCGCGCATGCAAACCGTTAAGGTTTTGGCATCACTGGCCTCTTGAAAAGAACCGTTCCTAAAACAAGTAGCTGCTGCCCCCATTTGCCAGGTGGGTGACAAAGTCCGTGCGGCAACTGCCCCTCTTGGGTCAGCACTGGCTCTGGGCTGTCGGGGAGGTGTGGGCAGCCCGATGGCTGGGCGCACGTGGGCAAGAGGGATGTGCCCTGGGCCCCAGCCAGCTGCACCAGCCCCCCGCACCTCCACAGTCCCGCGCAGCCCCGTGACTGCTGTGGCCACAGGTGAGGCCAAGACCGCAGGTGCACAATGGAACTTTATGCAGCCAGAAAGGCCTAAGGAGGCACCAACCCAAGTCTGCCCCCGACGGCCAGGTCACTGCAGCAGCATGAGGCTTTTCCACAACACCATGCCCCCGCCTCCTCCAGGCCATAAGAGCAGAGGAGGAGGACTCTTCCCTGACCCAGACTCGGGGCATTTAAAGAGGCCAGCCCGGGCTTCCTGCCACCCTGGAATTCCAGAGAGCTTTACTTGGTATCACAATGCAGCCCCCATGCTAGGCAAGGCCTTCTACACCCTGGGGACCCAACCTGGGCCTCACCCGCTTGCAGACAGGTCTGATTGAGAACATCAGGAAATCCCAGCGTCCTTCAAATCCCTTTTGCTCTTCGCAGCCCTGAATGTAAGTACCTGTGGGCGGGATCTGAATCTTACACAAATCAGGTGCCTGGCTGCAACCACCATCCACACTATGCTGGATGGATGGAAGGACAGATGGACGCATGGGAGGTTAGGAGGGAGTCAGAGGTGCTGATGCAGCAGGGAAAAGGGGCTCCTTGGGGATCATGAGCGCTGGAAAGAACCTCTCATGTCGGCCAGTTCCAGCTACCTGCTGCAGAGGGGAGGAAAGCCGTCTCATATTTAGGAATAAAAGAGAGCCAAGGGGTGGGGAACCGATGGAAAACCAATTTAAAAGACCGCTATCTTGGGTGCCTGGGTGGCTCAGTTGGTTAGGCGACTGCCTTCGGCTCAGGTCATGATCCTGGAGTCCCGGGATCGAGTCCCGCATCGAGTCCCGCATCGGGCTCCCTGCTCAGCAGGGAGTCTGCTTCTCCCTCTGACCCTCCTCCCTCTCGTGCTCTCTCTCATTCTCTCTCTCGCAAATAAATAAATAAAATCTTAAAAAAAAAAAAAAAAAAGACCGCTATCTTCATGACAACAAGTTACAGAAATTGACCTTTATTTATTGTACTAAAGTCTGTTTAACTTTTGATACAAAGTAAGGTTTTAGTACAGAAAATCCCAGTCTGTCAGAACAGTACCTGTGCACACTGTACCATCATAGTCCCGCTCGGACCGCGACCCGGCGACCCGGAGGAACAGCCCCGCGGGCACCGAGGAGGGCCTCAGCCGCCGTCCGTCTTGGTTGTCTGAGCTAGAAGAAGGCGCGTACCTGTGAGACCAAGGGCAGCACTGAGGACTGACACGTGTCTCTTTTGAACAACTGTGCAAGAAAATAGATCCCTTTTTTAAAAATGTCAGTTTAGCTAAACTACAATCTAGTGTCTAGAATTACAAAGAATAAAATGAAATAAAAGATTTCTTGCTAGTAAAATGAAATGTTAGGAACAGTATTAAAATATAGGTCCTACCCCAGTGGCGCTTACACGGAGCCCAGTACAGTACCTATTATTAACAGGACGCACAGTTTAAGGAGGAACCACATCAAATCTTCAGCCAGAGACATCCAGCGTCAGAAGTGCAAAAACAAAACAAAACAAAACAAAAAAAACCCCAAAAACCCAAAGACGCCCTCGTGGGGTACTGTTTCTGCCGGGAGTGCTGTCACCGAGACTAAGAGGATCCCCAGCTTCTCCCTAGATGTCTGACAGTGAGGACACTCCTCATTATGCTTCCCCTAAGAGCTCTTGGTTCCAAGTCTGAAACGTGTCTTCCTATCAGAGAGAGCTGATGTACCTGCCCCAGCCTATGGAGTTTAAGAATTACCCTGCAAAAATTGCACTGACAAAGCGGTCATTATTTACAGAAGCGAAAGAGGACCCGGTGGCACGTGCCAGCCCTCGGTTTACACCCTGCCTGGAACTACGGCATGGCGGTGACCCCAGGGAGCCTGGACGGCCCAGCGAGAAGGCGGACATAACGATTGCAGACAGAGAAGAAATGAGAGGACACAGAAGGCGGGACAGAAAGCCCGAGCGACGAGCTTGCGAGATGCCCAAGTGGCCTTCCTGGCGCAGGAGGGGAGAACATGGCCGCTGGTGCCTCAGCCCCACAAAGGCACTGGTCCTACTGCCACCATGTCTGAGCCCTTGCAGTCACCGTGTCCTGCCTGGAGAGGGGCCACTGAGGAGCAGGAAGTTTGCTGAAGCTCTGGTCCCACCGACAAGAACCTTCCAGAGCAATGCAGCCGCCAACGAGGTTCCAGAGTCGTTTTGCTGAAAGCAGGAACAAAACCCAACACCAAAGCAACGTGGGGGGTTGACAGGGTGGGGGGCAGGCCTGGGCACCGACAGCACGGGGCCATTCAAGTAAACATAAACAACCAATACTTAGAAAAGGCTTGTAAACTTGTGATCTGAAAGGTTCTCTTTGCAGCATCTCTGATCAGCTGGCTAAGGAAAGGGTGGTGTTGAACCCCTCTATCGAAAGTCTCTTGTGTTTTTTACTTAAAGCACATGTGTGAGAGGAACGCGGTCTTCTGGCCTGGGCCCGGGTCCCGGTCACCTGTGGCCCTCGGGCTACAGAGGAGGTGCTTCTGGAGTCCATGTGCGTGGATCCTTCCCTTCCGTGCTTATATACAGATAGACGTGTACTTCCGACCGCTGGGCACGAGCGGGGCCAGGCGTGCCCGCGGGCAGCCAAGCCACAGCCACTCCCAGAATGGCATTCTTCTACAGTGGACAGGCCGGAATCCACAGGACTTTATTTTGTTCCTGATTGACCATTGCCAAGATCTGAGTGCAAATGCTCGACAGGGCTCCTCCCTGGATGACCCCTGCAAAAGAGCCCCCAAACACACACATCATTGAGCTCAGAGTCAGACCCCGGGTTCGAGGCAAATCAAAACATCTGTTACTCTTTCTGGTTTTCTGCCTGTTGGAGCTACTTGGCCTGCCTTCCTCATGCTCTTCCATCAGCAAGAAATTGGGGAAGAAAAAGAAAGTAAGAGTTGAGTACAAATAACTTTGGCTTTTTATACAGATAAAACTGCTCTGCTGTTCAGTAGGATACTGACAATGTGGGCTCAAATGAAGGTTGGTGTCAAATTTTGCCAGGCTTCGAGGGCCTCTGTAACAGGGACGACCAGGATTTGATCACTTGCATTAACTGCATGCCCCCATTGCACGCCCTGGGTTGGGTCTGCCCCGTCTTGCAAGGGGGAGTCCAGCACCCTGGAAAGCAGTCTGAGGTTGTGTTGTGATGGTCCAAACGGCAGCCGGAGTCTCCAGGAAACAAGAATGGGTGTAAGGAGCCGGGGCATCCCATAGCCCAGTGAAGATTCCCAGGCAAGATGACGACACGTCCCCAGCTATGGCCCAGCCCTGCTCTGCAGGCTTTCGCCACCACGGGTCCTGCAGACACAAGCCCAGGCTCTCTGTGTGCTCCACGGAACAGTGCCAGTGGACAAACATGCCCGGCCGCTTGCCACAAGGTATGGACCGAAATAGACAAGGGAGCGCTTAGAAACTGCTTTGGAAATGTGCCAAGAGGAGCGCCTGGGTGGCTCAGTCAGTTAAGTGGCGGCCTTCAGCTCAGGTCATTATCCTGGAGTCCCGGGATCGAGTCCCGCATCGGGCTCCCTGCTCAGCGGGGCATCTGCTTCTCCCCCTGCCCCTCACCCCGCTCATGCGCGCTCTCACTCTCTCTCTCAAATAAAATCTTTAAAAATAAATTAATTTTTTAAAAAAAGGTGCCAAGAGTAATTTTATATCTGTTGAAACTAATAAAAAGTCAAAAGCTTTTATTTTGTAAGCTTTGGAGTTTTGAATTTTTCATTTCTCTAGTAATTGTTAATATATTTGACTAAATACTGGTTTATGATGGATTAGAGATTAAAACTCACACACACATACGTAGAAGCTCCAAGCTGGGTTTTTGAGACCAACTGTTTTTGCGTGAGAAGCGTGAAACGAGATCCTAACAGTCTGTACAAGTGAATTAAAATCACTGTCCCTGCCCCCGTGACCCCAGTGTGATTAACCCCTTACAGAAGACTGATTTTAGCAGACGGGGGGAAGCCACAAAGTACAATGGTAGCCAACAGACTGTGGCTTTTGGTTTGCTGTGTTTCAAAGACCAAAGCTGTCAAGAATGCAGCTTTCCTTGGCCAACCCTCATGGCTACACTGGACTGCCCGGAAGGTGTGAACACAGCCAGGCACAACCAGCACCACCGGGCTGCCTGCCGGGATCGCCGGAGCCTTCCTGCACAGCACTGCTGCTGGGACACAGACCTGCCACTGCATGGGGAACACCTGGGGGATGAGGCCAGGGAACCTTCCTCGTCAGCCCGTAGCACTCCAGCAGGACGGCTTCGATGCAGGGGACCGCGGCGGCACCGACCGGGCATCCATCCCCACTGCCCACTCTTCCTCTCCAGCCCAGAGGCACACCTACCTGTGAAGTACCGACTGTACTCCTGTTCAATCTTCTGAGCTGTCTCAAACTGCTCTTTGGAATGCCTCTGAGTCACCTTGTCCTTCAGGTAGATGGGGTCTCTCTGCTCCCTGTCAGACATCCAGAGAAGCAGGCTGAGTGTCTCACCTTCCCGGGCCCTCCTCTTTCCTTTGTCCAGAGTAACAGGGCCTCCAACAGTAGGGCCCCAGGTGCTCCCCTCGTAAAGCACAGCAAGCCTGCAGGCCCCAAGGGGAGCTCCGGGCATGGGGGGGGAAGGTGGGCACCCTGCTGCATGCATGCGGAAAGCAGACACCCCAGCTGGCCCCGAGGTGCAGGGACCAGAAGCTTGGAAGCACAGAAAGGCAAAACGGAGGGAGGCCCTGATGAGCGGTCAGCCCAACCAGCACGGAAACTGGAGCACAGGGAAAGCAAAGGCTCATCCGCGTCCCAAGCCAGCTCCTAGCAGACTGGCCCCAGCCCAGGTCACCTAGCTGCTTGTGTCCTTGGGAGCCCTAAGCTGAGAGGCAGAAGGGGAGAGAAGGACGGGATGCACAGGGAATGACGCACATAGGGAACTGTGGCAACGACCGCATAGGAACAAGGGCTGGTGGGGACGAGGAGTGTGCCTGGTTCGCACTGCCTGAGTGAGCGTGAGATGCGGAACGTTTCCTACACCTACCGCCCGTCTCATTCTTCCATGCCCACCTGCACTGCCCCGGTGTCTGAGCCAGCAGCCTCGCCCCCAGCAAGCCCCCCCAGCCCACCAAGCCCCGAGGAGCCAGCCACCTACTTGATGTGTTTGGCGCTCTTGTAGTGGATGAAAATGACAATGGGGTAGATATGCATGTGATGCAGCCGCTCGATGGCGTGGGGGGCGATGTCCAGGAGACAGTGCCGGTTCTAAAGGGGGCATGTGATGCGTCAGGGCCTGGGGATGGCCCTAAAGACACTGGAGCCCTGCCACAGATGGGGCCCCCCTCTCTCCCACACTGCCCCACCTCCTGCATCAAGGAGGACCAGTCTAGTATGAAGACCACGTAGGAAAACCTGTGGAGGGCTTCACCCCAGAAAAGCTCTCCCCACAAGCTGTCAACTCTGATGGTGGTCAAGGCTAGGAGCCAGGGCGGAATGGGGTCTGGACAGCCCACCTCCAAACTGCCCTTCCTGCCTCTGCCCAGACACAGGGAGCTTCTTGAAGCCCGACCCCAACCCGGTCTCAAGAGCCTCACTCCTGCCAGATTGAGCAAATGAAGACGGGGAGACTCGGCAGGGCCTGACCTGGGGAAGGGTTGTGCGTGTCTGCGTGACTGTGACTGAAACGTGTCCCGGGGTCCCCTGAGCCTCCAGGTGGAGTGTGAGCCAAAGAAAGACCACGGGCACTCTGCATGGGGCTCTCCTTGACCCCGAAAGCTCCACTGAGGAAGCCCAGCCGAGTCGAGTTTCTAACTCCCTGGGGCACACCTAACTGGAGTGCATCCACTTCAACTGGGCAATCCACACTCCCAGCTGCCAGAAGCCACCTCCCTCATTCAGTGAGGAGCAAACCAAAGCCTTATGGGGTGAAATGAGCAGCCCGAGAAGGACAGGGCCGGAGGAGTACACCCTCAACGTCTGCTTTTCCAATACACCTTACAGGTCTCCCCACTTTTCCTCACGCTCCCTGGCAAACGGATCCCAGTACATTCAAGAGCCTAAAGACACACAGAAATGGCTCTTAACACTTTCAGGGGCAGAGGCCCTGATGGAAGCTGGGCACCCTGTCCCCAGAATAAGGCACACATAAAGCTCTGCACACCCACTGAGCAGGTGCAGGACCCTCTTGTAGAATCCTCCGTGTGGGGGCTTTCCTAGAGCTCAAAGCTCTCATTAGATCCGAATCCTCAGAGGGAGAGGGGTGATGTGTGCACAGGGACCAGCACCCAGTTTATGACGGTGGAAACACACAGAAGCAATGGGGGCAAACCCTGACGGAGGGTAACTTGGACTAAAAGGACACGGGCAAGTGCACTGAAGCCCCAAGAGACGCACAGGGCAGAGGTCCAGAGGCACAGCGGGGCAGGGGGCGGGGGGGAGTCCAGGCCCAAATGCTCAAACCCTAACCCTTGGTCTAAGCAATGGGTACCTTTTCTGTGATCTCCTTTATGGAAGCCACTGTGGTCACGTCGAAATGGCCACTCCTCCGCTTGTAGTCGACAAACAGGCAGTCTTTGACACCCCGCTCTATGGCCTGCTGGGAGGCCTTCATCACCTCTGCAAAGCACAGAAACAGGAATGAGGATGCCCCCTGGCCCGGGGAGCCGTCGCAGCGCCCTCTGGGTAAGAACCCTGTGCAGAAGACCTGTCCTCCTGTCCTTCCTCCCAGAGAAACACTGCTGTGACCCGAGTCAGGAGGGCTCTGAAACACCGAGGGACCCAGCCCCAGGAGACCGGCAGGCAGAGGCCAGCAGGCACTGAGGGTGCCCCTTACCGAGGGGGCATCTGCAGAACTTGCCGGGCGCCTCATTCACCAGCATTTCCTTCACCACGTCCAGTAAAGGCCCCAGGATCAGGACAGGCCTCAGGGAGGTGCAGTCTACTTTCTGGACCCGCTGATAGGCGAGACTCACCGAATCTGAGGGAGAGAGGGGCAGTGTCACGGGCACGCACCCGGAGCGGAGGGAGGGAGGCCAGGGGCCCACAGCTGCCCTGGTCTTGCTCACCCCAGGGAGGTCCGCCCCCTCAGTCCACAAATCCCGAGCCAGGCCGGGTGAGTGGCTCAGCACGGCTCACCTGGGACTTGCCCAGGTATAGCGCGAAGAGCCCCCCTGTCCCGGGCACACCGGGGCACGGCCACTCCTGCAGCCCAGCACAAGTGTCCTCGCTCTAGGAACACCCTAGAGCAGTCATTCCAGCACTTCCTTCTGCTCAGATTCTTCCTCACGTGCCTTAGGTCTGCTCCCCTTGACACCACTATCCATTGTCTGCTCTCTAGAGAGACAATGTCCCCTGCAGGCAGGTGTGGTCATGTGACCCAGTGGGCAGAAGTGAAGCTCCCACCTCCTTGCCCCCTTCCCAGGGGCTAAAAAGGAGAAGACCGGGGCTGCTCAGCCAGCCTGGACCCTGCTGATGAAGACAACCTTCAGAAGAATGGCAGAGCTACAGGACCAACGGGACCTGGGTCTCCGGATGATTGCTAGGATAGAGCTGTCTTCCTGGAGCCACTTTACCAGCTGGGACTTTTACGGGGCGCAGAAATCACACTTTGGCCACTGTTATCTGGTCTCGGTTACAGAAGTCAAACCAATAGCCTCGGCAATCTGCGTAGGACACCCCCCCTTTCCTGAATGAATAAACAAGTCCTTGCCAAAAGAGATGGCCTAACACCAGCACCTCCTCAGTATCGGTCACCGTGCTGGCACCTCAGAAACTTCTGAAAGAATACAACACACAGGCTCACCAGTGTCACAAGACAGAAACTCGTGAAAAGCCCCAATGGCCATGCAAGAGCTCTCGACAACTCCAGGCAACAGAGCAAGAGGTCCCAGAGAGCAGAGGGGTTAAAGGAATCCTGTGCTGGCCCCGAGGATGAAGAGACCAGTGGCAGGCCCATAGGAGGGCCGCAGCTGGAGCTGCAGCCCTGGCCAAGCCTGGCAGGACAGCAGGCTGAGGGCAGGGTGGGCTGGGGTGGCCTCTGGGGAAGGGTCAAGGGGAGGCTCTGCCCGGAAGGCCTGCACACCGCCAAACGACAAGGCCTGACTGGCGATGGGGCTGTGGGTGAGCACACGGCGTGGGGCCAAGTGCAGTCCGGGCTCCACTAGGAACAAGCTTGTGGGCAGACCTGAGGGGGAAGCAAACGCAGTCTCTCCCCTCCCTCACCCACACCGACACATGTATTTTTTTTTTTTAAGGACTGATGATTATCCATGTATACCTCCATGGCATTCTCTACAGCATTTCTCAACCTGGTGGCCAGCTGATCTGTTCCGGTCGGCAGGGAAGGGTTTTCGTAGCCACATCTACCATCCAGGAATGCCTGTGCATTTCTGACTAAAGCCTCTGAGGAGTCTCAGGGCAAAGGACTTTCTCCAGGAGAAGACGAACACATCCCTCTTTTAAAAATCAGAACGTTACAGGTAAAGCCAAACAGCTCCTCTGACACCCCTTCTCCAATCCATCCTGGTCCCCACCAGCCTTAGAAGCTGGAAGGATATCCTTCCAGATGTTTGTTATTCTCACATGTTTATTTTTACATACTCAGAAAAGACTACAAAATCTGCTACATACGTGTTCAACAAAAATGACATAGTAATGTCAACATTCTGCACCTCCCTCTTTCACTCAGTGTTATGTTTCTAGAATGCATCCCTATTGATTCATCTTGCTCTCCTGTATTCCTTCTGAACCTCCCACGCATGAGTACACTGCATCTATTCACCCATTTCCCTCTGTATGGACAGTAAGTCTCTATGCCTTCAACTTATTTGAGCAAGAATCATACTCTCCTCTAACGACTAGTAACACTCCATGCAGTGGGATACCAATTTAGAAGATTCCTGTTCCTTCCTGAACAATCTGCTTCATTGGAAGTCCTCATAATTACAAAATTAGAGAGCCACAGAGCATCTCACAAGTCATTAAATCCAACCAGCGAAAATATAAAGCTCCTTAGGAAGGATAAATGTACATATAAATAGAGAATCTGAAAGTAATGTAATATAGGTATGTAAATCACTTTTAAATCTGGAGTAGGTTTTTAAGAGCAACAGCACAAAAGTAATTATAAATCTATGCTAATATATACATTGATATAAAGGTGTCATCAACATCAAGGGGAGGGGGACACAGAGGTGTAACATGCAATTTTTATAGGAGACTGAAATTAAGTTGTTATCAGTTTAAAATGGATTGTTACAGGGGCACCTGGGTGGCTCAGTTGATTAAGTGTCTGATCTCAGCCCAGGTCTTGATCCCAGGGTCATGAGTTCAAGCCCCGCGTTGGGCTCCAGCACGGGGCCATGCAGGGCGTGGAGCTTATGTAAAAAAAAAATAATGAAATGGATTGTTATAACTTTAAGATGTTTTACGTAATTGCATAGTAGCCAAAAAGAAAATATCTGTGAAATATACACAAAGGGATGTGAGAAAGGAATCAAAACCTGTCACTACAAAAAAAACCCCAAAAACCAAAAAAAAAAAAAAAAACAAAAAAACCAAGACATACAGAAAACAATTCCAGTGGCAAGAGTAAGTCCTCCCATATCAGTAATTGCTTTAAATGTGAATGGACTGGCTAAACGGACGAATACACAAGATCCAGCTCCATGCTCTTTAGGGGAGACTCGCTTCAGATCTACAGACACACACAGGCTAATGAAAGTGAAAGAGTACAGCTATTTCAGGCAGTTAGGAATCTTACGCGAGCAGGCAGCCACAGTTACAGCAGGCCAAATGGATTTTAAGGCAGAAGCTCTCACAAGAGGCCAAGAAGGACATTACGTAATGATAAAAAGGCCAATTCTCCAGAAAGATCCAAAAATTACAAACACACATGTACCTCACACAAGAGCTCCCAAATATGTGTGGCAAACGTTGAGAGAAATGAAGGGAGAAACAGAGAGCTACGCAGTATTTGTAGGGACTTCAATGCCCCCATCTTCATTACGGATAAAACAACCAGAGAGAAAATAAGGAAGAGCACTGAACCACAAATACTATGGACCAAATGGGCCTCACAGATGAGCGCCTAGCACTCCGCCCAGCAACAGCAGAGGACACATCCTTCTCAAGTGCACAGGGAGCATTCTCCAGGGCAGACCACCTCCAGGACAGACCACCTGTTAAGCCACAAAACAAACTTAAGAAAGATTGAAACTACACGAAGTATCTTTTCTGACCAAAATGGAAGGAAACTGGAATACAACAACAAAAGGAAAACAGGAAAATAGACTCATATATGGAAATTAAACAACTCACTCTCAAACAACCAAGGGGTCAAAGAAAAAAAGCAGAGGGCAATTCAGAAAACTTCGGGAGACAAATGAAGACAAAACCATAGCATACGGACACTTACTGCAGCAAAAGCAGTACTAGGAGAGAAGTGTGTATTGGTAAATGCAGACACTGAGAAAGAAGAAATCGACAACCCAACTTACACTTGGGGGATCAGGGGAAAAAAACAAACTAAACCCAAAATGAGCAGAAGGAATGAAGTAATAAAGAGCAGAGATAAATAGAGAATAGAAAAACAATTAGAAAAGAAATCAATGAAACCAAAAGTTGGTTTTTTGAAAAGATCAACAAAATTAACAAACTCTTGGCTAGACTAATGAAGAAAAATGGAGAGAAGACTTAAATCACTGGAATAAGAAGAAAGGGAAATGATAACCGATTCCACAGAAATGAAAAGGTTTATCGCAAACTACTACAAACAATTACATGTAAACAAATCAGACAACCTGGAAGAAATGATAAATTCCTAGAAACATAGAATGTATCATGACTACATCATGAAGAAATTAAAAAAAAAAAAAAAATCTGAACAGAGCTATACCAAGTAAGGAGACTGCAAGTAATAGAAAAACTTCCTCACAAGAAAAAGCCTAGGACAAGATGGCTTCTTCACCAGAGAATTCTACCAAACACTTAAAAAAAATTAATACCGGTCCTCTTCAAGCTCTTCCAAAAATTGAAGAGGAGGGGACACTTCCAAATTCATCCCAAGACACAACAAGAAAACTACAGGCCAATATCCCTTATGAACATAGATGCAAAAATCCTCAACAAAATACTAGCAAAATGAATTCAGCAACACATGAAAAGGATCATATGTCATGACCAAGTGGGATTTATACCTGGAATGCAAGGATGGTTCTTAACATACAAAAATCAATCAATGTCATACACGTTAACAAAATGAAGGACAAAAACCACATAATCATCTCAACTGACACAGAAAATGCATTTGACAAAATTAACTACCCTTTCATGATAAAAACACTCAACAAAGTAGGAACAGAAGGAAACTACTTGAATGTAACAAGAACCATGTATGAAAAGCTTGTAGCTAACATCCCATTCAAAGGCAAAAGACAGGAAGCTCTCCCTCTAAGATCAGAAACAAAGGCGAGGATGCCCACACTTGCCATGACTATCCAACACAGTAATGGAAATCCCAGCCAGGGCAATTAGACAAGAGAAAGAAAGAAGGCATCCACATTGGAAAACAAGCAGTAAAATTATCTGTTCACAGATGACATGATCTCGATGTAGAAAACCCTAGAGAATACACACACACACACACACACACACACACAGACACACACACAAAACCTGTTAGAACTAACGATTTCAGCAAACTTTCAGAATACAGATTCAACATGCAAAAATCAGTTGCACTCCTATACACTAACAACATACATTCTGAAAAAGAAATGAAGAAAACAAACCCATTTACTAACATCAGAAAGGATAAAATACTTAGGAATACACCTAACCAAAGAGGTGAAAGACTTGCAAACTGAAAACTACAAAACACGGCAAAAAGAAATCAAAGAAGATACAAATACATGGAAAGACATCCTGTGCGCATGGACTGGAAGACTTAGTATTGTTAAAATGTCCATACTGCCCGAATCAATCTATAGATTCAATGCCATCCCTCTGAAAATCCCAACAGCATTGTTTTGCAGAAAGAAAAAACGGCCATATCAAGCAACTGTTACTGCCAGAAGGTGTGCGCACCTACAAACGGCCTTTCTTACTACATTTAAACATGTAAACATCCACTGTTAGCTCTAGGCCATACAGAAACAGAGGTGGCCCACCGGCTGGGGTTTGCCATCTCGTCCTGACAGAGGGACAATGGGCCACGAACAAGGGTGGGACTTACTCAACTCCCAGGGCCTAAGGCCTTCATTTAAAAAATAAAAAAGGTGGGGTGCCTGGGTGGCTCAGTCATTAAGCATCTGCCTTCGGCTCAGGTCATGATCCCAGGGTCCTGGGATCGAGCCCCACATCAGGCTCTCTGGTCCGCGGGAAGCCTGCTTCTCCCTCTCCCACTCCCCCTGCTTGTGTTCCCTCTCTCACTGTGTCTCTCTCTGTCAAATAAATTGAAGAAAAAAAAAATATATATATATATATATAAAAGGGAGCAGGGAAGGATGAAATAAGCTGTCCTATCTTGTGCTGCTCATTGCCGGCTTTGTAGCCTGCCTGCCCGGGAGGGCAACATTCTAGGACGCCGGACACACACCAGGATCCCACGAGCGGCAGTCCTAAGAGCCTCCTGCTTTCCAGGACAAAGGCATGCTTTCCCCAAGGACAATCGGCCGGGGGATGTCTAACACTCCCTAATCTGCAGCTCTGGCCCTGGTGCGGTGCCTGGCCCAGGAAGATCTCCTAAGAATCGTTCATGGACACAGGAATGAAGCCAGAAAAGGCCAAAGATCTGCAGAGACTGGTGGCTCTTGGTTACCACCAAACAGCCTACAATAACCCCAAAAGAAACCAGAAGCAATGCACTGAGCACAGACTGCTTTTGCCTGTCCGATACCCATCCTTCTCTTCTTCTGTACTAATGGAACCTACGTTACTGAGGCCAGCACGGTGCCAGCTAAAACCCCGCCTTTCCAGGCTCTTTTGCTGATGCAGTGAGTCGAGGTCGCAGGGTGGGACCTCCAGGGAAGCAGTTTAAGGAGGCACACTCAGCTGCGGCACAATTTGGCCCCATCCTCCTTCCTGCTGCCTGAATCGGGATGTGATGGCTGGCGCTGCAACGTCACGTGCTGACCATGGAAGCCACGCCCTACAGATGGCAGACCCTGAGGACAGCAGTACCACCACCCCGACCGGGACTTCGGTACAAAAGCAGGGTGAACCTCTATCTTGTCTAAGTCCTTGCTGTGCGGTCTCTGTGGTCAGTGGCAAGCCTAATTCTGACAGCCTGCTGGAAAAGTGAGCTCGGCCACTTGCCTTCGAAGAATGGAATGGTGTCGTTGGAAAAGGTGTCCAAGGCAAGGAGGTCTTTCCCATCTTTGGACCCGCTGCGTTTGTGCTTATGTTTCCTTCGAAAGAAGGATCTGCGTGCGGCCGCCGACAGCGTCTTTGCAGCGTTGTTGTCATCTTTGACCTCAGACATGCTGAGTCTCCTGGAGAATTCTTGGTCCATCCTGCAGGCACAGGGAACGGTGATGCTGGGAAGGGCCTAGCGACCGCCTCCTGCCCACCCCACCCTGCCCATGCGGAGGGGAAAGCCAGGACCCCAGGCTCCTCCGATGCTCTGCGACAGGTCTCTTGGCTATGCCACCCACCCACACCACCGAGGACCCCTCAGTACTGCTGCCGTGGGGGGACCCATGCACCAGAGCTGGGGGACGCTCTCGAAGCAGGCCAGTTCCTACACTCAGGTCAGAGTCAAAAGGAAGTGCTGGGACAGCTTTCCCTTGGTGACATGACAAGTGAAACTTCCAGCCACAAAAGGGAATGAAACACGGCTGCACGCCATGACACGGTAGAACCTTGAAAACACTATGTAAAGCACAAGAAAGCAGGCACAGAAGGCCACATTCACAGGAAAGTCCAGAACAGGGAAATCTACAGGGACAGAAAGTAGAGTCGTGGCTGCCCCGGGTGGGGGAGCAGGGCAGGAAAGACGGAAGGACAGGTGGGGTAGCTAACGCATGCAGGGCTGCTTCTGAGCGGACAAGAAAGCTCTGAAATGACAGTAGGGAGGGTGGCACACGGCTGTGCGTACACCGAAAGCCACTGAATCGGACACTTTGGGTGGACTGCATGGTATAGGAATATATCTCAATAAATCTGCTAAAAATAAAAAAGTTATGTTTCCTAAGTTGCCACGGTTCTTCTGTAGAGCACTGACTTACGTACACCATTGCACTGCACTAGAAGCAGCTTTCTAGACAAGCGGTTTGGGCAAAACGTACAGACCATACGCCAGGGTGCATGGCAAACTGAGCCCCGATCCTGTGGGACAGCTCCAGGGGTGGGCACCGCCCCTTCCAAGCCCAGACATGAACACTTACACGTATTTGCTGGGGATCTGGCCACGCTGGATCTTTTGGGCATTCTCGTCCAGCTGCCAGGCCATCCAGGACCCAAATGTGCCCTGAGGTAAGGTGTCATCGACGTAGAGGATGTCATCTTTCTTAAAGCTCAGCTCACGCTCCACCTCCGCCAGCCGGTCATACAGGGCCCTGGGCCAGGAGACAGAGGGGACAGGATCAGGAGGAGGCTACCGGCTGCTGGAAGACCAGCCAGCCGCACACTTTGGCAGCCAGTCTCCTGAGACAGCTCTCCTGCTCTGAGCTTTCCCCAGACCACGATCAGGACCCACCTCTCCCCATGCTGGGGGCAGTTCCCAGAGAAGGGAACCCCCGGCTTTATGTAACAGAACAACGTTGTCTTGCCTCCCCTAAGACTAGGGGCTCCCTGGGGACGAGGGCTGCCTCACATCCATCAGATACAGTACGTCTTGCCAAGGACCATATCCCGTCTTCCAAATGGGCCTTCCCTCCCTGCCACCAAGTCAAGGTCAATGGTTCCTACAGAAGGGAAACTCCCCAGGATGGAAATATGTCATCTCCCACCCAGGAGGGTGTCCTAAAGACAGAGACCGTATCTCACAGTACACAGCTGCTCGGTGCTTTTTCCTTTCTGTGGCCTCAGAGCTTAGGGAACATGAAGGAAGCTAGAGCTCCTTCTAGAAAACACCTGGTGCCTGTGCCCACCTGCACACAAGTCATACCATACTTCAGGCACACACGTGCCCTGATACTCACACACACCGCAGATGGATCTGCCGACGTGGGGTGGGGGGAGACCAGGAGAGGAGTGCAGCGCACAGGAAAATGGGGCTCTGCAGCCTCAAAATTTCCCAAGCCCCAAACCCTAAAGAGGGAGCCCATGTGGTCCTGCAGGCCCTCAAGCAAAGTTTCCCTAAGTCACAAGCATCTAAGTCACAAGCCGTGAGCACGTGGTTTGGGGCCCAAGCAACAAGGACCACAGTCCGGCCCTCTGTGTTGCAGAGACACTCACCAGGACCAGTCTCCTCAGAAGGCACCTCCCCTGGCCCCAAATCCCTGGAACCCCTGGCCCCTAGTACCTGATGTAGAAGCTGTCGCCAGGCAGGCCCCTGACCTTGGTGAACTCCTCAGGGCGGTACTGCACCTTGAGACGGACACTGTCCTTGGGCTTCAGCATCTCCACGTAGACCTCCTCCACAGTCTTATTGCGCACATCCAGACTGCCATACTGCACAAGGACAGGGGACTGTGCTCAGAGGGCAGAAGCCAGGGGCGCCTCTGGCACCAGTGAGCGAGCGGTTGTGGGATAAGGCAGAGATTTAAGATCCCCTTCATTGGGAATCTGCACGCCTCGCCTCTGCAGGTAAGGCTGAGTCCTCTGCCAGGGTCTGCTGGCCTGTTTTTACAGCCCTCACTTGCTTATACTACCTTTTGCTTATACTACTCGTGTCTTTGAATATCTATGAACCATCTCCCCCATCAAATGGGAGACCCAGCAAGAGGGAGAGGACGCTCCATCAGACCATGGTCCTGCTGCTGACACAGTAGAGGATCCTCCCTCCCGACACCAGTGCCCAAGCCAGGGCCCCGCTCACGGCCCTGTGACCCGTCCCCAGGGTCCTGGCAGCATTCAGCACCACCAGGGGGCGCCAGGCACGACAGCCACCCCGTGCCGCTGGAGGGTGCAGGAAGCCCGCGGGGCTGGCGGGGAGGGGCGGGGCCTGCCGCTCAGCAGCTCAGAACTCACCTCGAGGATGAGGTCTCCGGGCACAAGGCCATCAGGGCCCTTGGCAGAACTGTCATCCTCCACCTCCGCCACGAACACCCCGTGCAGGTTCCCTCCACATAAATGGACTCCAAGCTCCAGCTGGGACTTTTTGATGAAGACGACTCGCGGCTCTGGGGTCTTCTTGTTGACATCTCCCACCATCCTTTGGGGAAGGAAAAGAAAGTCCCTCAATCACAGACAGGGGGAGCAGGGCGTGCAAGACTACACAGTGGCTAATGCCCCGGCAGTTTTCCCTTTACTCCGTGAGGTCTCCCGGCGCTCCCATCCGGGTTCTGGCTCCAGCGACTTTAGTTTACAGGCTGGAAGCTGAGGTTTGTAGAGGTGAAAACACGGCCCCAGTTGAGAAAGCCAGCTGGGGACCGAATGAAAACCAGTGCCCTGCTTTCTGGCCCAGCTGTCCGTTGAGTGCCGTGGGGCTGCCTCTCTCCCCACCTGGACGGCACCTGTTCTCCTAACCCTGTTCTGCCTGAGGAAAGTCAGAGCCGGTCTCACAGCCCAGGGCACAACAGACCACTTGGCAACATGTACGGAGCAGCTTCTCTGGCCCAGGAACTGTGCTACGCCACCAAGAGGGGGCCCCTGGCCATCGGGGAACCCACAGCACAGCGAGGGAGACACTGGTGAGCACTCAGAGGGGAGGAAACGGGACAGCGATGGGGACCTGGGGACAGGCCAGCTGTGGTGACCGCATCCAAGTCCCAACGTGACAGATCCAGGGCAGGAACGCAGAGCGGGCCTCGTTCCGAGGGAGGCCAGGGCTTGGTCCGGGCCTACGGAACGATGGCTGCGCGCCCTGGCCCGTGCGGCCCTCTCCCCATCTTCCCTCTGGCTCCTGTGCATGCCCTGCCTCCTCCTGCCCTCTGTCCATGCCTCCCGCTCCCCCCATGTGCACAGCTAACCCCTGCTCACCCTGAACATGTTGACTTAACTGGCTCTGCTCCCTGCCACACTCTTGCTCACTGCCCCGCGTGACCTGCTCCGGCCCTCCCAGCACGTGCTGCACATGCCTGGACACTGGCCTGTCACCCTCTAACCCCGGAGCTCCCTGGGGGCGACTGCTGGTGGCAGCCACAGCCCAGGACCTGGCTGGGTGGAGACTAAAGACAGACCACGAGTAACTGAGAAAAGGAGGAAAGGAAGAGAGGCAGAGCTAGGAACAAGTCAACGAGGAAACAAAAGAGAAAAAACAAGAAAGTGAGAAAGGGCAGGAGGGCGGGAGGAAAGGAATGCCATGCTTCCCACCCCAAGGCCTGACAGCCTGCTATGCGGCCGGCCGTGGCCCTGAGGGGACGGGGGGGACGCCGGCAGGGTGTGCTCAGGCCACGACCACGACCGCCTGCCCCACCCCCCAGGCCGGCGCGCACAGACAGAAGGCTCACAGCACGCGTTGGCTGACCTGGAACTGGGGGTGCTCTGCTTGGCCGGGGGGGTGCCAGGGCCCTCCTCCTGCTCCATCAGCGGGTCAGTGACAGAGGGGTGCTCCGGGGCGGTGGTACTGCTGCCCTGGAGCGTGGAGTGGGTGCTGGCAGGGTCCAGGTGGGAGCTGGGGACGGAGGGCAGGAGGAGTAAGGAGCAGCCCGCGGTCCCCGGCCGTCCTCAGCCACCCCCTCTCCGGTGCTGACCATGGCTGGGGAGGGTGGAGAGCAGGGACTGGGTCACGGGGCTTGGAGCCCGGAGAAGAGCAGATGCCTCGGGAGCTGGGACTCAGGTCGTCCACCCTGTAGGATCTGCCTGTCCTCAACCTGGGGATCCTCTCTGAACATGTGGGCTGGGGGCCCACAAATTCACCGTCCCTTTGCCTCTGTTTGTGCATCTTGTCCCCCCTTGGCTGAGCTGCGCAGTGCTGCGTGGCAGGGGCAGGTCTCCCCCTTCCCCCGCATGCCCGGCAACCCACAGCTCAGGGGCAGACATGGACAGGGGGCCAGAACCCTCTGTGCGAGAATCCCGCCCCCAGGGCCTCCGTTCCTGGCTACCACACACCTGTGGCGGGGGGCTTCCTGCTGCACGGGGGGAGGGGATCCAGCCATGTGCTTCCACACCCTACACCTCACATCCTCCTCCTCCTCCATGTTCCTTTTCCGAAATCCGGGGCTGGCCAACTCTCCTCTTCCGGCCGCTGAATGGCCGGAACTCACAGTCAGCCCCCGGGCTGCACCCTCTGTCCTGCCCCAGCCCGGAGGCCCCCCATGGGAAGCCCAGGCGCTCACCTGGACCGAGAGTGGCTGCTGAGCTGGTGCATGTGTGGGTTGTACTGGGCCAGGATGGTGACAGTGTCACACTGCTGCCCAATGATGAGCCGGGCCTGCTGCTCCGTGGCGCTCCGCAGGTTTATGCCATTGAACTAGGGAACAACCAGAGCATGCTCAGTGCCGCAGTGGGGGCTGGGGACCGGGGAAGCACAGCTCTTCCCAGGAAGGGAGGAGAGGACAGAGGGAAGAAGGCAGTGCAAGGGGCAGCTCTCACTCACCT